ACATATCACCTGTTGTGCTGACTCCACCCGATGCCTTCTTCAAGCTCCACCTCTGTACAACTTGCAAAAGACTATTACCAACACCCCATTGCATCTTTGGTTGTGAAGACTCTTTGTAGTTTCAATCAATCATCCATGTATGCAACCATAGAATCAGACTCTCACGATACAACACATCATCTCACTCCCTCAGTACACCCTATCATCCTCACCTGTTTAACTTCCTGTCGGGCTTTCTCCTTGCCCTTGCCAGACGAATTCTTGGACCTCTTAAAGTCGTGTTCATCCCCGCTCCCTTGCACGTGGGAATAATCCTGGTGGTGTCTCTTCTTGCCAGCCATACGTGGGTGCATAAAAATACTTGGTGGTGAGGTGAGTCAGAAGTTACTCGAAAGAGTATCTTAGGGTTGCAAAGATGGTTTGGAATGAGAAGCTACTGCAGAACAATGAATAGCTACGGTAGAACTCAATTATGTATTCTGATACATGAAGCTAGCTTCAGCAGTGGGATGGCTGGTGCGAATGGGAAACTTGTCAAAAACCGACAAGTCAGCAAAGGCTTACCGATTGCACTCCGACATCATTCTACCCTGCTTCGTGGCACGTTTGTCGAAGCGTGCTACTTTCGTGCAGCGCGGTATCTGCGCGCGCGGTTGACGTGAAGGGCTTGTAAACACGTCTGAGCTAGTACGAAGGCAGGCTCCGGAAGGAAGGAGAAACCATTGCTTGGGGTGACAAAGCTCGTAGAATGGGAATAACGTGCTAGACCCCATCAGTCGTGGTGTAAGATCCGTGGGGGTTGTGCTCTTCAGGACGTATTCGAGATATTAGTACTTTCTCCTCTTTCCATGTTATGTCCAAGAAACGAGCCCTCTGTACTAAGATTTTGTATGGCTCTTATGAACAGAATATGACATCTTCAAAACATGGAACAATAAGGGAACGGGTCTTGTATCATCCATACGTAACAAGACTTGTCCCTTCTAATCCATACTCCTGGCTAGCAATTACAAAAACATCCAAAACCGTTTAGGACGTCGCTGCTGCATCATGCGGTTACTTGCTGGCTGTGTGTGGCACAGCGATGCCAACACAGCATACGGGCAGCTATTTCAGTTGTTGCAGAGAATAAAACAAAAACGGATGTTTGCTCGGTAAAATGGATGTGCCAAACAAACAACTTCGCATCTGTCGTGACACAGGCACGCGAGCTAGGCCAGCCTGTAACTTCCCTGCCACCACCATTACGTAAGAACCTTCTGTACAGCAAAACGAGGCAGGTCCAGACTGACGCAGTTGGTGGGGACCTGGCTGACTCAGCCAGCTCTGAAAACGGCACAGGTCGTCGCTGGCATGTTTAGTTACCCGACGATAGCTGCCATCGCGAGGCGTGAAATGGGTCAGCAAAGAATCACACTCCACTGAATTCACGACCTGTGCATCTGCAAAACTAATCCCCCCTAGAAAACAGTGAGCTATTTCGTGAGCGTTAAAATCGTAAAAGTCAAGAAAGATACGTGCGGGGAGAGGAAGCAAAAACGCACACTGTTTAATATCTTTTGTCTGGGGCCGAACATGAACCTCGACGTTTGGCACAATTCTGCCAATAAAGCGCATAATCCAGTAAGTGCAGGTTGGTGATAAGTGCACAGTGTGGCACGATTTTCACCGCACTTCCAACACGGCAGCAAAAACAGAAGTGAGGTCCCGAAATTTGTGGCACAGAGGTGCCAGCGCATGTAAATTGAAGCCAGCATTTAATGCGCGTGCAGAGATAACTGGATTTCACGGGCAAAGATAGCTGGGTCGTTTTGGCTGCTAGCACAACGTAGCAACGAAACGCGACAGTGCGGCGAAAGAGACCATAAATGCGCAGTAGTGTTTGCTTCGATCCTTCGACCTGTGGTAAAATATGACAGCATTTCGTGACAGCTCATCATAGATGCCACACACTGACGCAAACTCACGGCATGACCGATGGTTGACGAAAGTTGGGCTTTAAGGGGACACGATGTTATAGCCCAGACACGATGTATTTGAATAAGGGAATGTACCCCTTAGAGTATATGGCTAGCAAAGTCGTTTTATCTCCCCTGTACTCATATTTATATTTGCTGTATTTGCATGTTTTAAATATCTCAAAGCATTTTACATTCACTCTGCAATTGAGGTCAAGGGCCCATAAGCATCACTTCTCTGCTTGCGAACCTTCCTGAGTAGATCCTAGGCCACGATCAACTTCTGATTGCAGCACTATGCATGCAGCAATTCTACTTACAACAACGTTGACGGCTTACGCACTTTTAGTGAATTCACCAACCTACTCTGCTTCGCATGCTCTGATTTTTGGAAGAGGCACTCCCTGCACTATTTCTAGATCCCTCACAAGTTTCCAGGTCTTTCCAAAAAGGTTAGATAGGTATTTCATGCCTTGCTCTGTATGCAGCAGCTCTACTTGCAGCGATGTTGCCTGTTTACGCACTATTAGTGAATTCACCAACGTCTAATTCTCTGCATGCTCTGATTTTTGGATGAGGCACTCCTTGCACTAGTTCTAGATCCCCCACAAGTTTCCAGGTCTTTCCAACAAGGTTAGATATGTATCTCATGCCTTGCTCTGTATGCAGCAGTTATACTTCTAGCGACGTTGCTTGCTTACGCATTGTTAGTGATTTCACCAACCTCTACTGCTCCGCATGCTCTGATTTTTGGATGAGGCACTCCTTGCACTAGTTCTAGATCTCTCACAAGTTTCCAGGTCTTTCCAACAAGGTTAGATATGCATCTCATGCCTTGCTCTGTATGCAGCAGTTATACTTCTAGCGACGTTGCTTGCTTACGCATTGTTAGTGATTTCACCAACCTCTACTGCTCCGCATGCTCTGATTTTTGGAAGAGGCACTCCCTGCACTATTTCTAGATCCCTCACAAGTTTCCAGGTCTTTCCAAAAAGGTTAGATAGGTATTTCATGCCTTGCTCTGTATGCAGCAGCTCTACTTGCAGCGATGTTGCCTGTTTACGCACTATTAGTGAATTCACCAACGTCTAATTCTCTGCATGCTCTGATTTTTGGATGAGGCACTCCTTGCACTAGTTCTAGATCCCCCACAAGTTTCCAGGTCTTTCCAACAAGGTTAGATATGTATCTCATGCCTTGCTCTGTATGCAGCAGTTATACTTCTAGCGACGTTGCTTGCTTACGCATTGTTAGTGATTTCACCAACCTCTACTGCTCCGCATGCTCTGATTTTTGGATGAGGCACTCCTTGCACTAGTTCTAGATCTCTCACAAGTTTCCAGGTCTTTCCAACAAGGTTAGATATGCATCTCATGCCTTGCTCTGTATGCAGCAGTTATACTTCTAGCGACGTTGCTTGCTTACGCATTGTTAGTGATTTCACCAACCTCTACTGCTCCGCATGCTCTGATTTTTAGATGAGGCACTCCTTGCACTAGTTCTAGATCTCTCACAAGTTTCCAGGTCTTTCCAACAAGGTTAGATATGTATCTCATGCCTTGCTCTGTATGCAGCAGTTATACTTCTAGCGACGTTGCTTGCTTACGCATTGTTAGTGATTTCACCAGCCTCTACTGCTCCGCATGCTCTGATTTTTGGATGAGGCACTCCTTGCACTAGTTCTAGATCCCCCACAAGTTTCCAAGTCTTTCCAACAAGGTTAGATATGTATCGCATGCCTTGCTCTGTATGCAGCAGTTATACTTCTAGCGACGTTGCTTTCTTACGCATTGTTAGTGATTTCACCAACCTCTACTGCTCCGCATGCTCTGATTTTTGGATGAGGCACTCCTTGCACTAGTTCTAGATCCCCCACAAGTTTCCAGGTCTTTCCAACAAGGTTAGATATGTATCTCATGCCTTGCTCTGTATGCAGCAGTTATACTTCTAGCGACGCTGCTTGCTTACGCAGTTATACTTCTATCTCATGTTTCCAACTCTTTCATTAAGGTTAGTTGAATAATGTGCCATGATAGGCTGGATGAACACGCTATGCCGTTTGAACATTGGATGGCGTACAATTGTATCATGGGTTAGCGTTGTCATTTTCTGTTTTGTAAGCATGATGGTACGTGTATTGTTTGTATGTAGATCAGACAGACGTAATCATCAAATTAGAACTGCGTAGTTGGACTTTCAACCAAAGTTGATAGTTTAGTATCTACCTCAAGCAAATATTGTTTATTAGGTTCAGCTAAATAGGGTACAGATTCTTGTGTCCGAGTTTTCCTAAGTTTGAATTTCCGACCCTCCAAGGCACGCTACCACCCAACCATGAGAAACCCTAATGCGCTTTGCTGCGTTAGGCGTCGCCAATCTCTCTACGCCGCTCGCGTTTTTTTCCCGCCATTCCCTTTTAGAACTACTAGCTTCCACTGTAAGCGTGGCGCGACAATGGCAATCACTACAGTCACGTCGACCGAGTGTTTTCGCGTCCACCAGCTGCTACTCCATTCTCTGGTCATTTCGTGTTTAGTAGGCATACTGATGCCATTATGCGGGCGTCTTAGATCTCGTACCAATCGCCACGGGTCCGAACATATTATGCTATTGATTAGATGGATTGCGCGGAGAGCTGTTTCTGCAGCGTATGTGACAAAAGTTAGAAGAAGAAAGAGAGAGGAATGAACTAGCAGAAATGGGGATACAAATAGCAAACCCTAGAAGGGTTGTACTCGCTATAGAGCACCCCACTACAGGCTAGAACATAGGAATAATATTCTGACAGTATGCGGCCTATGCTGCCCAAATGCGCAAGTGCTGGGCGGGCATCTAGGCGGAAACTCGCCATGCGCGCCATGGCGAGGACGGCGATCAGGGCGAGGAGCACCAGACACCTCTGCGCTCGGAGGTGTTGGGGTCGTGTATGCCATCCCTGCTCCTACCTACAGGCGCTGTGTTAGACGTAGGGTGGACGCTGCAGATGATAGCACCTCACAACGCCCGCAATCACACATTCCACAGGCCAATCGCGATGCTGAGATGGCGTCTCCAGTGTCTGCTGGAGACGGCGAGACGGGCGCTCGTGAGGATATGCCCTCCACCTGCACATCCTCCGATCCCGTCGAGGAGGGACCGTCGGTAATCCCCCCTGCACCGCCACCAGATTGCGGGGCGGACACATCTGCATCATCATCTCCAAGTGTGAAGATCACCCCAGCGCTTCTAAAGTTGCTGCAGCTCGTGGACGGCGTGAATGAGGGTGACGGACTGTCGAAGATGAATACAAACCGACTGCTGCAGCTTCTATTGCATCCCGAATTAGCAAAGAACCTCGTCGACGCCAACATTTCAAACTCGCGCTATCTTGAAAGGCTCCACCTCGAGTACTTGGCAAGCACCGGGCGCGGCTACATGACAACCACCATCGTGGTCGAGGGTTGGCCTGATCAGGTCATGCTGCACCGAAATCCACTCCACGTAAGTAATGTCATGTCTCCCTTCCCTGCTCCCTTCCCTGCGCCCTCCACTGCTGCCATGTCTCCCTTCCATGCTCTCTCCCATGCTACCATGTCTCCCTTCCATGCTCTCTCCCCTACTGCCATGTCTCCCTTCCCTGCTCTCTCCACTGCTGCCATGTCTCCCTTCCCTGCTCTCTCCACTGCTGCCATGTCTCCCTTCCCTGCTCTCTCCACTGCTGCCATGTCTCCCTTCCATGCTCTCTCCCCTGCTGCCATGTCTCCCTTCCCTGCTCTCTCCACTGCTGCCATGTCTCCCTTCCCTGCTCTCTCCCCTGCTGCCATGTCTCCCTTCCCTGCTCTCTCCACTGCTGCCATGTCTCCCTTCCCTGCTCTCTCCCCTGCTGCCATGTCTCCCTTCCCTGCTCTCTCCCCTGCTGCGTTGTCTCCCTTCCCTGCTCTCTCCCCTGCTGCCATGTCTCCCTTCCCTGCTCTCTCCACTGCTGCCATGTCTCCCTTCCATGCTCTCTCCCCTGCTGCCATGTCTCCCTTCCCTGCTCTCTCCACTGCTGCCATGTCTCCCTTCCCTGCTCTCTCCCCTGCTGCCATGACTCCCTTCCCTGCTCTCTCCACTGCTGCCATGTCTCCCTTCCCTGCTCTCTCCCCTGCTGCCATGTCTCCCTTCCCTGCTCTCTCCCCTGCTGCCATGTCTCACTTCCCCTGCTGACATGCCTCAGTTCCCTGCTGACATGTCTCACTTCCCCTGCTGACATGCCTCAGTTCCCTGCTGACATGTCTCACTTCCCCTGCTGACATGCCTCGGTTCCCTGCTGACATGTCTCTCTTCCCCTGGTGACATGTCTCAGTTCCCTGCTGACATGTCTCACTACTCTTTTCGCATGTCTCACTTTCCCGCGGACATGTCTCACATGTCTTTCTCGCATGTCTCAGTTCCCTGCTGTCATGCCTCAGTTTTCTGCTCCCATGTCTAGCCTCCCTGTTTCCATGTCTCGCTGTAGTATTCCCATGCCACACTGCCGCGTTATCTTGTCTCCTAGCCATTGCTCACATGACTCACTTCTCTTATGCCAAACCAACACATGCTTCTCTGATTCTGGGACTCTCTTTCCTATTCCCATGTCAACTTGCCGTGATACCATGTCTCCCCGCAATGTTCCCATGTTAGTAGCACGGTAGCCTGCTAGTACTTCCTTTGTTGGCCTTGTACTCGCTTCTACCTTGCTGCATCCCTGCTGTGTTACCCATTTGTGCCCGGCGTATGTTTGCCCCCATGGGTTTTTTTCAGGCTCTGGGAGACATGTGGTCTGCCAAACAGAACTCCAACGGCTTTCGTTTCAGGCCACGGAAGGAGGTCGATTCGGATAGTCGACAGCGTGCCTACACCACAGCAGAGACGGGGACATGGTGGCATGATGCTCAGGTACGTTGTCCCATGTTGTGTTTAGTCTCTGAGTACATTTGAGGTTTGATGTGCCATCCAGTTTCTTGGCTTCAAGTGCAAGGTTACTTTCTCCTCCCCTATGTGAATCCGGGAAATCCTCGGCTGAAACCCAACTATGCTTTCTACCTGAATTTTGCACCCAGGAATTGGTAGGACCTGATGCTGTGATAGCCGCTCTCATTTTCTACAGCGACGTCACGCACCTCAGCAGTAATGGCAAAAAACAGGCCCATCCAGTTATGATGACACTTGGCAACATCCCTTTTCCTAAGCGTTGGGGTCCAGCAGGGCATTCATTGCTAGCAATGCTCCCTATACCTCCCAAAGACATGCCAAATGACCTGAAGGTTGAGATTTTCAACACCTGCGTGGCCAAGTTGTTGGAACCTCTGGTTCAGCTAAAAGAGAGGTAAGATGAGATGTTTTTATAGACATAAGTGTGTACTTGCATTCTGATTGTAGGTTTCTGCCCCCTGGACATGATGCGCTTGTAACTCGGTCCAACAGCCGTATTGTTGTGTGACATATGCAGGGGTGTACTACTGAAGGATGCGAACGGTGTCGAGCACAAGGTCATACCGCTGCTGCTCGGGTGGGCAGCTGACTACCCAGAATCGGGCAAATTGACATGCACACTCTCCGGCCAGCGCTGCATGAAGCCCTGCAGCATTTGCTACGTGGATAGGGTAATGTGATCTCTGGTAATTCAGTGAGTTTGTGTTCCGGCACAACACTCAGCTGCAGCATGAGCAGCCACTAAACCTTAGCAGGATCAAATCCTCACGCACATCCCCCTTTCCCTCCGCCGCATCTCCCAATGCCCCCTCAGGTGTGGAGCAAGGGGTAAACGTGTTTCCTTGCAAAGGGCCAGTGCTGCACATGCTGACCCCAGCCATTTGCAGCATGAAATCCTCATCCCCACTCCCCTTCCTACCTCCTCCCTATCTCCCTTTGCCCCCCAGGTGTGGAGCAAGGGGTAGACGGTATCCCTGTCAAAGCGCTACTTTTCTGCACATGCTGCCACTAGCCATCAGCAGCATCAAATACTCATCCCCACTTTCCTGCATACCTCGTCCCTTTCTCCATATCTAGCTCCGGTGTGGAGCAATGGGAAAGCAGGGTCCCTTTCATAGCGCCAGTGGGGCACGTGCTGCCAACAGCCATTTGCAGCATGAAATCCTCATCCCCACTCCCCTTCCTACCTCCTCCCAATCTCCCACTGACCCTTAGGTGTTGCAGCAGGGGGTAAATGGGTTCCCTTTAACATCGCCTCCTGTTCTAACTATGCCATGTCTTTGTCTACCCCTTTGTACCTTGGTCACCGATCCTCTCTATACCTTTTAGTGGCCCAATTTTAGTTGCTATGTTTTTCTTATTGCGGCAGGACAACCTCTCATCAATCAACATGGAACATATTGTACGCACTCCAGAACAGCAACAATGGGTGATGTCTCAGGCAGAGGGGGAAACATCTGATGATGACAGCACTCTATCAAAATACTCAACGTTTGACGTTGAGGTGAGCTCTTGCATGCGTGTTCATGGATGTGCTCGTTGGGGTGAGGTGCAAAGATCCAGATGAATCATAGTCTGACTTTAGTTTATGGACATCATTAGTGTTTCGTATGACGTTAATTTTGGGGATTTGTGATTTCTGAACAGACTTTGTAACTTGTGTTGCCCATGTAATGTTGTATGTGTGTGCTTTCCCATAACTTACTTTTATACTGCTCCCCATTGTTTGGCAGTGCGCACTGTGGCAATGGGCTATAAATGGTCATCCATGGGCGAACCCCTATCTAGCAGTTATGCCAGATATCATGCATATGGCGGATTTGGGGATACTGGACCACATTATCAAGTGCATTCGCACGGCAGTGCCAAGGGCGGTGAAGAAGCTTGATAAGTACGTCCCTAATCTGCTGGTTAAGTGCTGTTGCCATGGCTGCATGCATCGACCTGCCAGCACTTACTCAGTCTAGAAATTTGGGCGGACTTGTTTCGATACTCTCATTAAGTTTCCTTTAACAACCACTCCAGCCACTCCCCCTGAACAGGAGGCTGCAAATTGTTCAAGAAGCCACCCGTATCAACTTGATGCGGTTCCCGGAGAAGGAATACTTTGAAAGCAATGCTACGGTCCCAGCATTCCAACACAGGGCAGTCATGCAGGTAAGGATGAGGGCCAGCCATGTTTTGGAACTTTGATTTAGTGAGTGATTTCATGCCTCTTTCACACCACGGTCACACGCAGTCTTATTTACCTTCCACCGTTCCCCTACCCCCCCACCGTAAGTCTGAAATTTCGCCCACAAAGTTGTTTCTTTTTGTGATCATGTACGCGCACATTGTTATCCACAGCCATGACTTTGACTGGAATATCTTGCACCCATGTCCCATCCACACATCATCCCACCCTCCTGCCTTTTCTCTCTTACAACCCTACATGATGCCGCGACACGCTTATTGTCACCCACAAAGCCTGCCTGACATTTCTACCACGTGTGTCACATCCCCACAACACCCCACAGCAGTCCTTTTCTCCATTCCCATGGCCAATATGCTTAGGCAAACCCATGAGCCCTCATGTCACATCCACATGATTGCAGGTTTTAATATTCCTAGTGGCAGATATTTTGGATGCACCACAACTCGAGGCGATACGCGCGTACCTTGACTGGTATAGCTGCTGTAACAGCCACATTCATACCGAGGCCAGCCTACGAGAGCTACAGCGGAAAGTAGGCAGGTATGCTAATGCGCATGCAAAGACCACTTGCACAAGGGTGACCTAGGCTCAATGTGGGGCCGTTGGAGTGCCCAGTTATGTCATTGGCGTAATGGCATGCCTGTTTTTCCAAATTCCCCTTTTTGACACAGGCTCGTGAAGCTATTGGTGAAAGCATTTCCCGACCAAAAATCAGAGTGGAACTTGATCAAAACGCACCTGATGACGCATTTCTTTCCTGCCATTCGAAGGGCAGGTTATGTGCAAGAGTATAGCACGAACCTATTTGAGCACCTGCACAGCGTTCTCTTGAAACAGATATACCGCCGTACAAACAAAAGAGACGCCGACAAACAGATAATGAAGCGTCACGAACAGCGACTCGACTTGTGGGAGGACGAGGAGTCGGACCATGGCCGAGAAACCGCTATGGCAAAGGTATGGACCCGAGTGTAACTCGTGCACTAGCATTTGTAATGGTGCGATTTTCAGCACTTATTGTGTCTTACGTACAGGCCATTGAAGAAGGAATCCGTGTGATGACCAAGGAATCACACTTCTTCCCGGTAGAACCAACCGGGGCCACCGAGTCTACGAACGATTTCGTGAAGGGGTGGAGCGAGCAGCACCCCGAGGCACATGCCGCATTCAAAGGGGCACTAACACGTGCTGGCCTGACGCCAAGCAAGGTTCGGGTAAGGAGCTCATGCGTCATACTCACTGGATCACCCCATGCATGCTCATTACGTTCTTTATGTCAATTAATATGGCATCCTAATCCTTCGATTCCACCCATTGTATCTTTTGCAATGTGTTTACATCGCAATGGAGAGATACTACTACACACAGCAGGGTCCTCATTTGTGCACTAATCCCGCCTTCCCTCATCCATCCTCCCTCTCCTCCCTCCCAATTGATCCACTCTACTTCACTCCCCTCCTCCCTCCGTCACTGCCACACTCTCCCCTATCCCCCTCTGCCCCTTAGGTGAAGAACATTGTGAGAACAAGCTGATTTAGCCCTGATGTGTCTGCTAACCAGCCCAAGCAGCATCAATCCTAATGCCCTTCCCCATTCCTCCATCGTTCCTTAATGCGTGTGCTCACCCAGGAACTTGATCATGGGCCGAGGCACCTTAGAACAAGACCCTAAACTCCTTACGCCCTACCAGTTTGCCCCTTCATCCCTACCTCCCTCTGCCCTCCAGATGCTAAACATGGGGCAAAGGGCACTGGATTGAATCCACCTCTGCCTCACGAGCTCCCACCAGGCCACACGAGCATAATCTCCTCACACCCAGCCACCTTCCCCCTTCATCCCTACCTCCCTCTGCCCTCCAGATGCTAAACATGGGGCAAAGGGCACTGGATTGAATCCACCTCTGCCTCACGAGCTCCCACCAGGCCACACGAGCATAATCTCCTCACACCCAGCCACCTTCCCCCTTCATCCCTACCTCCCTCTTCCCTCCAGATGCTAAACATGGGGCAAAGGGCACTGGATTGAATCCACCTCTGCCTCACAAGCTCCCACCAGG